AATATATTCACACTGTAGTTCAGCAGACGCTGACTATACATTTATAATACTACAGCATAAATGTCTTGTGTAGTGTAGCCGGGTATACATATTACATAGTTAGTCGTTGATTTATATTACGCCTCGTAACACTATTGTACATCGTATCATTATACTTATTATTATATTATATATATATCCGATTTTATTATTATTTACCTTTAACTTCTGTATATCTGTGTACTTCAACATTTTTTTTTAAAACAATCAATTTTTTTTCTATAATTATCATGTATGTTGTATGAATTATACATTAATTATAAATATGAACTTCCATTTATTTTTATAAATGTACATAACAAACTTTTGTGAAAAAAATGTTATCAAGTGTAACAATGTAAAATGTAATATGGCCCAGTTTATAATTCATTTTGTTCATTTTGTATAAATAATACTATGTAGTAAATATATGGCAAAAATTATTGAAATGGGCATCATTTTTTTAACAGGGTGGCAAAATACTTAACGCTGGCTCTGATAATATACTTCCCGAAAGAAATCTTTTATCTCATCCCGGTCGGCGATTTGTCTTTAACTTTCGAATCACCGCTAATTGTGTTTTTTATTTTTTATTCATTTAATTAAATATTTACATAAATACCAATAATAAACTATAGATTTATATTTTTGAGCAACTGAACTACTTGAATAAAATTCACAAACAATTATTACATTTTTAAATATTCAAACTGGTACAGTTTTAAAAAAAAAAATCAATATCAACTAATTTTAGTAAAATAAAAAAACACCAGTCATTAGTACCAGAGAGATCTTATCGAGTGTGTGAATTATATTATTATAATGATTTAAAATTTAGGTCGCGCACTCGCGGTAATAACGTCTGGTCGTCTGCATGGCATATTGTAATAGGCCTACCTATGTGCACAGGATCGTATTGTGTGTAGCTTATTAATTTTCATACTTTAACAGTTTTATAAAAATACGCCAAAAAGATTCAAACACTTTTATATTTACCGAAGGAAACGTCAGGAATTTCAAGTCGGTGCTCGTCAGAAACACTGTTTACTTAATATTTAGTTTGATCGCGCAAAGTTATAAAACATTAGCTACGATATTATAACATTGTGCACGCTTTGTCGGCACGAAATTTTTTTTCTCCAAGCATTTTGTTAACGTGAACATTTCAATATTGATAATAATATTATAACACTATACATATAGGCATAAATTGACCTGACGTTTTATGTAATATAAGTACACTCATGGTAGGTAGGTACCAACTATTAAATAAAGAAGAAAATTAAAATATGTCGTTAACATAAATATAAATAAACATGTACAGTGTACGCACAAATATAATACTATAATAATATTATGGTCGCTGTGGTGACTTAGTGGTAGATATTGCGTATAATACGTGTCATAATGGGTGTGTATAATATGTACATAATATGTTAAGGGAAAAGTAGAAAATTGGGCATATCAATATACTATGTGCTCGCTAAAGATATAATACTTTTGACGGCGTCCAAGTAAAATTATAAAAAACTATATATTATACATAAACTTATTATAATATTATGTATTACATACGGACGTATTTATATTATAAAGATAAAAAAACGTCCAATCTTCCGATCCGTTAAAGATTTATCACATACGATTATGGATTATCGATCGGACAAAAGGTCAGATGATATTATATAATATATTAAGGTGTATGACCGCAGTAGGCAAATATTGACAGTCACCGGTGTAGGTTGACAAATACCAAAAACCGTAGTGAATGTTGACGAAATTGTTTTAATGCGTTCATACACCGGTGATTGTTGACAGTCAGTGTTTGGTAAATGTTGACCACACTTGAAGCACAATGTATCTAAAAGGTATTTTTGTATTATTTTGTAAAATTATTAAGATGTTATCGCCCAGTCACAATATGCATTGGAGACGTTTAGTAATGTAATCGCATGAGACAATCCGATTGTCCATCGTTTGCTAGATAATATAATATAAATATATCCTCGTCAGTATCGACGCGTATTCTAAACTGAGCGCAACAGTTTAGTGTAATACAACGGGCCTTAGTGTAATATTTTATTAATATTATATTCGAATTAAAACTAACAATGGATAAAAGTATAAAAGATATTTTTTATGAAAAGTTTAGTGCACTTTTATTAAAAAAAAAGGAAGATAATTGTTTTTATTTAAGCACTGAAAAATATAATAAATATATAAGTGAAGTTATAAAGCAAAAAAAAAAATAAACAACGAAGTGATTACAAACGATTAAATCGATTTGACTTGATAAGACAATGTCTTTGAGACAGGTATCGACGGCTGCTTACAAAAGTGGTGGCCAAGGTTATGTAAGATGCAATTGTAAAAAAAAAATGTAATACAAAAAAATGTAATTGTAAGAATGGGGGAATACTTTGTAACAGTAAATGCCACGATAGTTTACCGTGTTGTAATAAATAAAACTTAATAAAGCAAAAACTTATATTACCTAAACTTAAAATATTAAAAAATTAATTTGTTCAACTATATTTATTTATGAATTTATTAGCTATCTATTTGATTATATATTATGTTGTCGTTGTCACACATGTCAACATTCACTAAATACCTATTGTGCATGTCAACAAATACTTTTAAATGTCCGCATTGTGAGATATTTGAAATAATTGATAACATTCACCAAAATGATTAGTGAATGTCGACATACACCGGTGACTGTCAACATGTACTGCCATGCGGTCATACACCTTAACATATATAACGAATGTTGTAGAGTAACTAACTTATGTTACAAGTCACTTTAATACAATAAGTTTGAAGCAATCCATTAGTAATTTAAGTTACTTTTATGAGTTAATATCTTCAAGCTAGTCAACTTTTTTCAGAATTAAAATGTTAAAACCATTTAAAAATATTAGAATAGCATTTTGGAAAGTCCATAATATTTTATAAACTTATAGTCCTGCCATGTCAGTTAAATAGATAATTTATTTTGCATTTTAGAAGATTTATATAAAATCTTATCTAAAACTTGTGACAGAAACTTTGAAGATAAAATTAAATATAAAATACTATATTATTACAATTATTATTTAAATAACTTTTTGTGTATTCATAATACAAGAGGAAATTATTATGTTAATTGTTAGCATTATAAACTTAGAATGTTCGAAGTATTCATAAAATTAGTTTTTATGTAGGCGCACAGCTTGAGAAAAACTATCATTAATATTAGTATACGTTTTATTTTGAATTTTTTCAATATTTCTTATTGGTAACTTTGAAAATTTTAAATCTTTTCATTACAGACGAATAATAAAAAAAAAAAGTAATTCTTTATTATGAAGTTATCCGCTCTGAGCAATAGAACATTAAAACAATTAAAGTGTCTGAGTTATTTGTGTCTTTGTAACAGATATTTTGTTAATTTCTGGTTAATATTTTCACGAATAATTTTTGATTTTTAATAATAATATTTAGCCAAAATTATAAAAAATAAAAAATAAAAAAAAGATATATTTCAATTTTAATTATTTATATTTCTTTGAATTGTATAAAGACATAATTTTATAATTTATTAAATTACAGGAATACGTGTTGAAAATTAACTATTGATCCTGAAATATAATGGCTGATAAAACGAAGAAGAAAGATCTACATAATATATTAAAAGGTAAGCAACCAGGAATTAATTAATGTATTAAAATTTCATACGAACACAGCTATATTTAATGTTGTTCTATGCAAAATAGATGGATTTTCTTGGAAAACAATTGGAGAATACCGCATACCATATATAATGCGTATAGTTTATGGTAAACATTTCAAATATGTAGCTACTCGGATGGCAGAATATGAAGTACTTGAAAAATACATAATTAATATACATTCTTATGTTTATACTTCGTGCACACTAGTGATAGCTTATGCCATCACTGAATCGGAGGCAAAATTATTAAATGATATAAACAAAGAACATTATGGAAATGGGAAAGAATTCCATTTATTGGCAGGAAAAGATTACATCGTCGGTTTAGAAGATCTTCATAACTTTTATTTGATAGACTTATGTTATAAAAAATTAGAGCGCAACAATCATTCAGGTTTCGAAGGCATATGCTTTTTCATAGGTATTGACTCTAATGCTCACTTCTGTGTACCATATTATACTCAAAACGGCCAAAAATATTTGGCTTTATTTTACTTTGAGGGAGATACAGAAAATCTTATGCAACGAGCTGTGCAATTAGAAAATTGGGATTTGGATTATCTCAAGTTTTGTTGGAAAATTCAAGGTGTTAAGGCTAAGTTTTTTGCTATTGACTCCTGCTCAGTGGTCAGCTTCGAAGATATCAAAAATTTGTATCCACCATAAACACTCTTTGAGGATATTTGGCCAGCTGAAATGGCTAAATCACATCTCTCAGCTTATCGGAAGTCTTTCCAGACCGAGACACCAGGTTCCTGGTTCAAATTAGTCCCTGATAAATATACTATTTAAAAAAAAGTAATTCTTTATTATGAAGTTATCCGCTCTGAGCAATAGAACATTAAAACAATTAAAGTGTCTGAGTTATTTGTGTCTTTGTAACAGATATTTTGTTAATTTCTGTTTAATATTTTCACGAATAATTTTTGATTTTTAATAATAATATTTAGCCAAAATTATAAAAAATAAAAAATAAAAAAAGATATATTTCAATTTTAATTATTTATATTTTTTTGAATTGTATAAAGACATAATTTTATAATTTATTAAATTACAGGAATACGTGTTGAAAATTAACTATTGATCCTGAAATATAATGGCTGATAAAACGAAGAAGAAAGATCTACATAATATATTAAAAGGTAAGCAACCAGGAATTAATTAATGTATTAAAATTTCATACGAACACAGCTATATTTAATGTTGTTCTATGCAAAATAGATGGATTTTTTGGAAAACAATTGGAGAATACCACATACTATATATAATGCGTATAGTTTATGGTAAACATTTCAAATATGTAGCTACTCGGATGGCAGAATATGAAGTACTTGAAAAATACATAATTAATATACATTCTTATGTTTATACTTCGTGCACACCAGTGATAGCTTATGCCATCACTGAATCGGAGGCAAAATTATTAAATGATATAAACAAAGAACATTATGGAAATGGGAAAGAATTCCATTTATTGGCAGGAAAAGATTACATCGTCGGTTTAGAAGATCTTCATAACTTTTATTTGATAGACTTATGTTATAAAAAATTAGAGCGCAACAATAATTCAGGTTTCGAAGACATATGCTTTTTCATACGTATTGACTCTAATGCTCACTCCTGTGTACCATATTATACTCAAAATGGCCAAAAATATTTGGCTTTATTTTACTTTGAGGGAGATACAGAAAATCTTATGCAACGAGCTGTGCAATTAGAAAATTGGGATTTGGCCTATCTCAAGTTTTGTTGGAAAATTCAAGGTGTTAAGGATAAGTTTTTGCTATTGACTCCTGCTCAGTGGTCGGCTTCGATGATATCAAAAATTTGTATCCACCATAAACACTCTTTGAGGATATTTGGCCAGCTGAAATGGCTAAATCACATCTCTCAGCTTATCGGAAGTCTTTCCAGACCGAGACACCAGGTTCCTGGTTCAAATTAGTCCCTGATAAATATACTATTTAAAAAAAAGTAATTCTTTATTATGAAGTTATCCGCTCTGAGCAATAGAACATTAAAACAATTAAAGTGTCTGAGTTATTTGTGTCTTTGTAACAGATATTTTGTTAATTTCTGTTTAATATTTTCACGAATAATTTTTGATTTTTAATAATAATATTTAGCCAAAATTATAAAAAATAAAAAATAAAAAAAGATATATTTCAATTTTAATTATTTATATTTTTTTGAATTGTATAAAGACATAATTTTATAATTTATTAAATTACAGGAATACGTGTTGAAAATTAACTATTGATCCTGAAATATAATGGCTGATAAAACGAAGAAGAAAGATCTACATAATATATTAAAAGGTAAGCAACCAGGAATTAATTAATGTATTAAAATTTTATACGAACACAGCTATATTTAATGTTGTTCTATGCAAAATAGATGGATTTTTTGGAAAACAATTGGAGAATACCACATACTATATATAATGCGTATAGTTTATGGTAAACATTTCAAATATGTAGCTACTCGGATGGCAGAATATGAAGTACTTGAAAAATACATAATTAATATACATTCTTATGTTTATACTTCGTGCACACCAGTGATAGCTTATGCCATCACTGAATCGGAGGCAAAATTATTAAATTATATAAACAAAGAACATTATGGAAATGGGAAAGAATTCCATTTATTGGCAGGAAAAGATTACATCGTCGGTTTAGAAGATCTTCATAACTTTTATTTGATAGACTTATGTTATAAAAAATTAGAGCGCAACAATAATTCAGGTTTCGAAGACATATGCTTTTTCATACGTATTGACTCTAATGCTCACTCCTGTGTACCATATTATACTCAAAATGGCCAAAAATATTTGGCTTTATTTTACTTTGAGGGAGATACAGAAAATCTTATGCAACGAGCTGTGCAATTAGAAAATTGGGATTTGGCCTATCTCAAGTTTTGTTGGAAAATTCAAGGTGTTAAGGATAAGTTTTTTGCTATTGACTCCTGCTCAGTGGTCGGCTTCGATGATATCAAAAATTTGTATCCACCATAAACACTCTTTGAGGATATTTGGCCAGCTGAAATGGCTAAATCACATCTCTCAGCTTATCGGAAGTCTTTCCAGACCGAGACACCAGGTTCCTGGTTCAAATTAGTCCCTGATAAATATACTATTTAAAAAAAAGTAATTCTTTATTATGAAGTTATCCGCTCTGAGCAATAGAACATTAAAACAATTAAAGTGTCTGAGTTATTTGTGTCTTTGTAACAGATATTTTGTTAATTTCTGGTTAATATTTTCACGAATAATTTTTGATTTTTAATAATAATATTTAGCCAAAATTATAAAAAATAAAAAATAAAAAAAAGATATATTTCAATTTTAATTATTTATATTTCTTTGAATTGTATAAAGACATAATTTTATAATTTATTAAATTACAGGAATACGTGTTGAAAATTAACTATTGATCCTGAAATATAATGGCTGATAAAACGAAGAAGAAAGATCTACATAATATATTAAAAGGTAAGCAACCAGGAATTAATTAATGTATTAAAATTTCATACGAACACAGCTATATTTAATGTTGTTCTATGCAAAATAGATGGATTTTCTTGGAAAACAATTGGAGAATACCGCATACCATATATAATGCGTATAGTTTATGGTAAACATTTCAAATATGTAGCTACTCGGATGGCAGAATATGAAGTACTTGAAAAATACATAATTAATATACATTCTTATGTTTATACTTCGTGCACACCAGTGATAGCTTATGCCATCACTGAATCGGAGGCTAAATTATTAAATGATATAAACAAAGAACATTATGGAAATGAGAAAGAATTCCATTTATTGGCAGGAAAAGATTACATCGTCGGTTTAGAAGATCTTCATAACTTTTATTTGATAGACTTATGTTATAAAAAATTAGAGCGCAACAATAATTCAGGTTTCGAAGACATATGCTTTTTCATACGTATTGACTCTAATGCTCACTCCTGTGTACCATATTATACTCAAAATGGCCAAAAATATTTGGCTTTATTTTACTTTGAGGGAGATACAGAAAATCTTATGCAACGAGCTGTGCAATTAGAAAATTGGGATTTGGCCTATCTCAAGTTTTGTTGGAAAATTCAAGGTGTTAAGGATAAGTTTTTTGCTATTGACTCCTGCTCAGTGGTCGGCTTCGATGATATCAAAAATTTGTATCCACCATAAACACTCTTTGAGGATATTTGGCCAGCTGAAATGGCTAAATCACATCTCTCAGCTTATCGGAAGTCTTTCCAGACCGAGACACCAGGTTCCTGGTTCAAATTAGTCCCTGATAAATATACTATTTAAAAAAAAGTAATTCTTTATTATGAAGTTATCCGCTCTGAGCAATAGAACATTAAAACATTTAAAGTGTCTGAGTTATTTGTGTCTTTGTAACAGATATTTTGTTAATTTCTGTTTAATATTTTCACGAATAATTTTTGATTTTTAATAATAATATTTAGCCAAAATTATAAAAAATAAAAAATAAAAAAAAGATATATTTCAATTTTAATTATTTATATTTTTTTGAATTGTATAAAGACATAATTTTATAATTTATTAAATTACAGGAATACGTGTTGAAAATTAACTATTGATCCTGAAATATAATGGCTGATAAAACGAAGAAGAAAGATCTACATAATATATTAAAAGGTAAGCAACCAGGAATTAATTAATGTATTAAAATTTCATACGAACACAGCTATATTTAATGTTGTTCTATGCAAAATAGATGGATTTTCTTGGAAAACAATTGGAGAATACCGCATACCATATATAATGCGTATAGTTTATGGTAAACATTTCAAATATGTAGCTACTCGGATGGCAGAATATGAAGTACTTGAAAAATACATAATTAATATACATTCTTATGTTTATACTTCGTGCACACCAGTGATAGCTTATGCCATCACTGAATCGGAGGCTAAATTATTAAATGATATAAACAAAGAACATTATGGAAATGGGAAAGAATTCCATTTATTGGCAGGAAAAGATTACATCGTCGGTTTAGAAGATCTTCATAACTTTTATTTGATAGACTTATGTTATAAAAAATTAGAGCGCAACAATAATTCAGGTTTCGAAGACATATGCTTTTTCATACGTATTGACTCTAATGCTCACTCCTGTGTACCATATTATACTCAAAATGGCCAAAAATATTTGGCTTTATTTTACTTTGAGGGAGATACAGAAAATCTTATGCAACGAGCTGTGCAATTAGAAAATTGGGATTTGGACTATCTCAAGTTTTGTTGGAAAATTCAAGGTGTTAAGGCTAAGTTTTTTGCTATTGACTCCTACTCAGTGGTCGGCTTCGATGATATCAAAAATTTGTATCCACCATAAACACTCTTTGAGGATATTTGGCCAGCTGAAATGGCTAAATCACATCTCTCAGCTTATCGGAAGTCTTTCCAGACCGAGACACCAGGTTCCTGGTTCAAATTAGTCCCTGATAAATATACTATTTAAAAAAAAGTAATTCTTTATTATGAAGTTATCCGCTCTGAGCAATAGAACATTAAAACATTTAAAGTGTTTGAGTTATTTGTGGCTTTGTAACAGATATTTTGTTAATTTCTGTTTAATATTTTCACGAATAATTTTTGATTTTTAATAATAATATTTAGCCAAAATTATAAAAAATAAAAAATAAAAAAAGATATATTTCAATTTTAATTATTTATATTTTTTTGAATTGTATAAAGACATAATTTTATAATTTATTAAATTACAGGAATACGTGTTGAAAATTAACTATTGATCCTGAAATATAATGGCTGATAAAACGAAGAAGCAAGATCTACATAATATATTAAAAGGTAAGCAACCAGGAATTAATTAATGTATTAAAATTTCATACGAACACAGCAATATTTAATGTTGTTCTATGCAAAATAGATGGATTTTCTTGGAAAACAATTGGAGAATACCGCATACCATATATAATGCGTATAATTTATGGTAAACATTTCAAATATGTAGCTACTCGGATGGCAGAACATGAAGTACTTGAAAAATACATAATTAATATACATTCTTATGTTTATACTTCGTGCACACCAGTGATAGCTTATGCCATCACTGAATCGGAGGCTAAATTATTAAATGATATAAACAAAGAACATTATGGAAATGGGAAAGAATTCCATTTATTGGCAGGAAAAGATTACATCGTCGGTTTAGAAGATCTTCATAACTTTTATTTGATAGACTTATGTTATAAAAAATTAGAGCGCAACAATAATTCAGGTTTCGAAGACATATGCTTTTTCATACGTATTGACTCTAATGCTCACTCCTGTGTACCATATTATACTCAAAATGGCCAAAAATATTTGGCTTTATTTTACTTTGAGGGAGATACAGAAAATCTTATGCAACGAGCTGTGCAATTAGAAAATTGGGATTTGGCCTATCTCAAGTTTTGTTGGAAAATTCAAGGTGTTAAGGATAAGTTTTTTGCTATTGACTCCTGCTCAGTGGTCGGCTTCGATGATATCAAAAATTTGTATCCACCATAAACACTCTTTGAGGATATTTGGCCAGCTGAAATGGCTAAATCACATCTCTCAGCTTATCGGAAGTCTTTCCAGACCGAGACACCAGGTTCCTGGTTCAAATTAGTCCCTGATAAATATACTATTTAAAAAAAAGTAATTCTTTATTATGAAGTTATCCGCTCTGAGCAATAGAGCATTAAAACAATTCAAGTGTCTGAGTTATTTGTGTCTTTGTAACAGATATTTTGTTAATTTCTGGTTAATATTTTCACGAATAATTTTTGATTTTTAATAATAATATTTAGCCAAAATTATAAAAAATTAAAAAGAAAAAAAAGATATATTTCAATTTTAATTATTTATATTTCTTTGAATTGTATAAAGACATAATTTTATAATTTATTAAATTAC